AAGGAGAGGTATGGGAACCCTGAAGGGACACTATAAATAAATAAGTTTATAGGGTAGAAACTTTAACACCTTCGATCCTCACGGCAAGAGAGGAAGACACACGAGCAACATGAAAAAACAAGGGAGGAAAATGTCTCAAACAAACCAAGATGCTACAAGAATAGAATCCATTGCAGAAGAGATGTCAGAGGAGGAGCTCAGAATGCACATAATTAAAATGATCTGTGAAGTAAAGAATGACGTAAGAGAGCAAATATAGGCCAAGAAATGATCACTCCAACAAAGAGATAAGAGATGAAATACAGGCAACAAAAGATTAATTCAACAAAGAGATATTGGGGGGAGGGGCATGGGGACCTGAAATCTTTGAAGCAAAGAAAACAATAAACCAAATTAATAATTCAATAGAGAGTACCACCAACAGACTTGTTAACTTGGAAGACAAAACCTCATGCAATGAAGACAAAATATATAATCTTGAAAATAAAGTGACCACACAGCGAAGATGGTGAGAAACCATGAGCAGAATCTCCAAAAATTATGGGACAACATGAAAAGACCAAATTTAAGATTTATTGAGATAGAGGAAGGCACAGAGATACAAACCAAAGGAATGCACAATCTTTTTTTTAATATGTTTTTAACTGTGGAGAGACACAATATTTTTATTTTTATGTGGTGCTCAGGATCAAACCCAGTACCTCACACATGCCAGGCAAACACTGTAACACTGAGCCACAACCCCCACCCCAATGCACAATCTTTTAAATGAAATAATATCAGAAAATTTCCCAAACCTGAGGAATGAATAGGAAAATCAAATATAAGAGATTACAGGACACCAAATGTACAAAATTACAACAAATCCACATCAAGGCACATTATAATGAAAATGCCTAGCATACAGAATAAGGATAGAATTTTAAAAGCCACAAGAGAAAAGTTTCAGATTACATAAGGGGGGAAACCAATTCAGATCTCCCCAGATTTCTCAACCCAGACCCTCAAAGCTAGAAGGTCCTGGAATAACATATACCAAGCTCTGAAAGAAAATGGATGCCAACCCCAAATCTTGTATCCAGCAAAATTAAGCTTCAGATTTGGTGACAAAATAAAAATCTTCCATGATAAACAAAATTAAAAAAAAAATTACAACAAGAAAGCCTACCTACATAACATTCTTGGCAAAATATTCCTTGAAGAGGAAATGAAAAACAACAATGAAAATCTGCAAAGGAAGAATTACACTAAATGAAAAGCCAATCAAAGGAGAAACCAAGTCAAGTTAAAAACCAAAAATAAACCATATTTCAATAATAATCCTGAATGTTAATGGCCTAAACTCATCAATCAAAAGACACAGACTGGCAGATTGGATTAAACAAAAAAAAAAAAAGACCCAACAATATGCTGTCTCTGAGAGACTCACCTCATAGGCAAAGACATTCTCAAACTGAAGGAGGAAGGATGAGAAAAACACCTCTCACGTGGATCATGGATCATGTACACAAGCAGGGGTTTCTATCCTCGTATCAGATAAAGTGGACTTAAAGCCAAAGTTAATCAGAAGGGATGAAGAAGGCCATTTCATACTGCTTAAGGGAATTATTCATCAACAAGACATAACAACCATTAATATTTATGCCCCAAACAATGGAGCATCTACATACATCAGACAAACCCTGCTCAATCTCAAGAATCAAATAAACCACAACACAATAATACTGCGTAATATGCCTCTGTCTCCACTGGACACATCCTCCAAACAAAACGTAAATAAAGAAGATACAGAAATAAAAATTACAATTGATAATTTAGACTTAACAGGCATATATAGAATATTTCATCCATCAATGACTGAATATACTTTCTTCTTACTAGCCTACAGATCCTTCTCTAATATAAACCGTGTTATGTAAGCTATCACATATGTTGGCATACAATTGTAGACTACTATTTGATACTACTTTCACATAGTTATAGCATCTGAAGGTTATTTTGAAAGCTCTCTTTCCATTGATATTAATTTTTGTGTTCCTCCTTTTTTCTTAATTAGACTCATTTGATTTATTAAATTATAGCTGTATTATTTCTTCTCTATGTCAAATATTTCTGTTCCTATTCTTATTTTTTCCTTCCTACTACATAATTTGAAAATAATTTGAATGCTATCCTAGCTTTTTTCTGCTACAACTACTTTAAGTTACAAATGTTCATCTGAGACACTTTCAACCCAGAGATCCTGATATTTTAAGCTTTTATTATCACTTAGTTCAAAACACTTTTTATTTACTTTTCTTGTGCTTTCTTCCTTGACCACTGAGATATTTTTAAGTGCATCATTTAATTTTGAAGTAGTTGACAAGTAGGAGTGAGGCTCTGTATATCTTAAGGTGATTGATTTCTAATGTAATAAACCATGCAGGAAACACAGTCTGTATGATTTCAAATTTTAGAAAAGTAATGGAAATGCTTTTTATATTGATTGTATTGGTTATATACATGTCAAAACTGATCAAATTGGGGAGGGGGCATGGGGGTAGGAATGATAGTAGAATGAATTGGATATTATTGTCCTCTGTGCATATATGATCACATGACCTGTATAACCCTACGTCATGTACAACCAGACAAATGAGAAGTATTGTCATTTATTTATGTATGATGTGTCAAATGCATTCTATTGTCATGTATAACTAATTAGAACAAATAAAAAAATATGAAAAAATTCAACTCAGAGTGACCATATACCCTTACTTCTAGACATATACCTGGGAGAAATAAAAACATGTATCCACATAAAAACTCATATGCAAATGTTCACATCAGCATTACCTAGAGTAGTAGAAAGTAAGAACCACACAAATATCCATCTAGAGGATATCCAATGGAGAAACAAAATATGGTATATCCATACTGTGAAATACTGTTCAGCTATGAAAAGGAAGGAAATATTGACACATACACAATGTGAATGAACCTTCAAAACATATACAGTGAAAGAAGCCAGACACAAAGTGCCCTGTAATATATGATTCCATTTATATGAAATGTCCAAAATCGAGAAACGCATAAAGACTGCAGATTAGTGGTTGCCAGAGGCCGGGGTGTCAGACATAGGCACTCAAGGGGTCATAGCTAAAGAGTGGGGGAGTTTCTCTTTGAGGTCATAGAACGTGGGATGTAGAGATGGTTGCACCACTCTGGGACTAAACTACAAACCACTGCGCTGTGTACTCTACATGGGCGAATGGTACAGTGTGTGAATGAGATCTCCATCCAGCTGTCACATACACAGGAGCAGAGAAGATAAAGCATGGACAGCAAGCAGCTCCATCCCACCCCTGCAGAGAGCTGCGGGTAGCTCCCCAGGGATGGGATGTACTTTTAGATTCGTTTTTGTTCACCCTCAGGTCCCACCAGCACCATGTCCTCTGCAGGTGGCCTGCTTAAGGGTCCCAAGCAAGACAAATTGTCAGCAAAGGTGATAAAGCCAAAGGATGGAGCCAGTACCGCCAGGTCATTGGCAGCCCCAACACTCTCCAGCGAGGCTGTCCTTTGCCTATTTACTTGATCCTGATTTGTCACCCAGTTCGCTCTTCCTGGGGCTCCCCCAATAGCAGGTCAATACTCCTAACCCCATTTTGGAGCCAAGACAACCGAGTGGAAGGTCAGCCCACACCCATTCTGGTGTCCCCCAGCTCCTAGCCTTGGATGCTGGGGGCCTTCCTGAGGGATGAAGCTGCTGGGAGAGCCCACGGGGCGGGGGGGCGGGGGGCACGCCAATCGGGTCCAGCCCAGAAGCACCCATCCACGCGGAGGCGGAGCGCGAGCCTCGAGGACCCCAGGAGAACCGGTAAGTCTCTCTAAGGGGTCCACCCCGTGGACGTGCTGCTGTCCCTGGAGAGCGACGGGCGGGGGCTGCGGGCCTGTTTGCACTGAGCGCTCTGTTCAAACACGACTCCCGCCTGTGGACACCTGTGCCAGGGGGAGGGCGGAGGGGCGGGAGCCCGCGCAGTCCCTGGGGCAGGTCCCCGGTGCTCACTCCTCGCCTGCTTCCCGCTTCTCTGACTGGAGCCAGCCCCCGGTCCTGGTGGGGTCCTGGCCACGCCATGCCCTGCGCTAGGCTGGCCAGCTGCTGGGGCGGCCGGGTGCTGCCCCTGCTGCTGGCCTACATCTGCTACCTTCTGCTCGGTGCCACTGTCTTCCAGCTGCTGGAGAAGCAGGCGGAAGCTCAGTCCAGGGACCAGTTCCAGGTTGAGAAGCTGCGCTTCCTGGAGAACTACACCTGCCTGGACCAGAGGGCCCTGGAGCAGTTTGTGCAGGTGAGGGGAAGGGGAGGAAGGGGACTGAGAGGTGGGCAGAACGGTCCCCTGTGGCAGGTCCAGGGCAGTCACCCAGGGGATCATGTCCCATGTGGAAGCAGAGATTAATGGGAACATCAGAGGTAGGATATGGTCCCAGATTGTGGTCCCAAGTCCAAAACAGGATTACTGTGTGACCTCGAGAGAGTCATTTAACGTCTCTGGACCCAAATGTCCTCACCTATAAGGTGACAAGAAGCAGCAGCTCTGTTTTGCAGACATTTGACAGCAGGTTAAAAGCTCTCTCTCAGCCGCCACCTGCTGCACAGATAGGAACTGAGTGCTAGTGTCATCAAATCTTCTTCTCCCCCATTTCCACACTTCCCCCACCCGCTTCTGGCTCAGGTCCCTGGGAGGAGACACAGATAACCATCAGGAGTAGCTGCCATGCTGACCTTCCCCAGACTTTTTTCCCAGGAGCTGGGCTTGGCAGGCAGTGGCCAGGGTGGCTGAGCTCTGCCAGTGCTGTGCCCACGAGGGGCTCTCTCTGGCGCCAAGGGGGCCACCCCCTGCCTGGGGCCCCTTCTGCCACCCTCTCCCAGAAACGGCAAAAGCAGGTGTTGTGGGTGGAAGCTTTGAGAGCAGGAGGTGCAGGGGGTGGCCACACCTACTGCAAAGAACAGACCAGGTGCAGCGTCATCAAATGATAACCAACATTTATTGAGCATTTACAATGTGTCTGGAGTGGGAAGAGCAGGGCTCCGGCCAATCACAACCCACCACCCCCAGAGCTGGCCTCTTGTCATTGCTGCTGCTGTCACTGTCTCAAGCTTATAGTGTGGTGACTGAAGCGCAGAGAGGTGGCACGTGCTGACCCAGGCTGCAGTTACTGGTAGACATAGAGCCCACATTCAGACTCAGAGAGGGGCCTTTGTCCTTCAGCCCAGAGTGGCAGTTCTCAAAGTGCGGTCCCTGGACCAGCAGCAGCAGCAGCAGCACCTGGGAGTGTGTGAGAAATGCTGCCCAGACCTGCAGGAGCTCCAGGGTGGGGCCGCAGGTGGTGTTAAGCAGTCCATCTGGTGGTACCGAGGCCTCCCTCAGGACTGAGGACGGCTGGCCAACAAGAGGATTCACGGCCTGGGAGAACTTGGTGGAGCTGCGAGACACCCAGCTCTTCCAGGAGACCCACGTCAGAGGACAGTAAGGTTCGGGAGGTTCCCAATACCCAGGGCACAAGGCAGAGCCCTGGAGACCCAGAAACCTCCTCCTCTCTCAGCCCCAGGCCAGAGTGAGCCCAGGAGCTGGGCAGAGGGCAGGGTGGGTGGCTGGGCTCTGACTACTCTGTAAATGAGGAGGAAGGCCCTAGGTCTGACTGCAGCTGGACAGGGTACCACCGATTAGCCCCCAGGGCCTCCCCAGGGAAGACAGGACATCACTGTCCATGAGAGTCCTGAGCCTCGGGAGAGACCCTTACCAGAGGAAGTTGAGCAGGGAAGGAGAATGCAGGGGTAAGATTCTGGGAGATCAGGAGTCACTGCTCAACTCTACCACACGCCAGGGACAGAATTTACTGCAGTATTAAAAAGTGACTCCAGGTATGGGGTGCACACCTGTGATCCCAGCTACTCAGGAGGCTGAAGAGGAGGATCCGAAGTTTGAGGTCAGCCTGGGCAACAGTGAGATCCGGTCTCCAAATAAAAAGTTTTTTAAAAGGGCTGGGAATATAGCTTCATGGAAGAACACCTCTGGATTCCATCCAAGTACCACGAAAAGAAAGATAAAAAAAATATATATATATATGTACGTCATAAGGAACAAGCCTGCCCTGATCCCAGAATCAGTGACTCTGCCTCTGCCTCCATCACCTGTGGATTCTTAGAGAAGAAAATGCCACCCACCCACACAACTCAGTACCCTCAGGGAAGTCAGGGACCCCCTCGGGGGGTGTGGAGGGCCCTGGTTGCAGAGGGGACAACCCAGGACTAGGGCAAGTGCTGCCTGCAGGGGTTCGGGTCTCTGGGGAGGGGCTGTGTCCAGGAACGCTTGGCCCTGGCCTCTCTGGGCATGTGGGAAAGAGAGGGAAGCCAAAGTCCACATCTTCAGTGGCCAGCTCCTGCCAAAATGAGAAGAAGCAGACCGCCTGCTGCTGAGGACGTCCACCCTGGCCCAGCCCACCAGGGACACCCCACCCTGGCCCAAGCATGTCCACCCAGCCAGTGGGAAGTGGTTCCCACAGGAACGAGAGGCCAGAGCTCCCCTGCTCCTCCACAGTGGCCCCACCCTGACTCGGGGACTCTACCTGGCGTCAAGGCTGAGCTGCCCTGGGACGATGCACAGGGACTGGGGCAGGGGAGGAGGGCGCTCTCCCCTTTCTCCAAGAGGACTGGCCAGGGGTGGAGGAGCTTAGCTGGAGCTGGGTCTAGTTTTGGTTCTAGAAACCACACACACACACACACACACACACACAACATGTACACACGTGCGACATGCAGTACCTACGCAGACGATGCACCACACAACACCTTCCTGCCGGCCTCTGGTAGAATCTCTGTGTCACCAGAGGGCCACCAGAGCAAAGCCACCAGCTCCCCTGAAAGCTCAGAGAGCAGAGCTTTTTTTGTCCCACCCCGCCCCCAAGCCCTAGGGCTTTCGTGTGGTCCCCAGCAAATCCTTCCAGAAACACCCACCTGAACCTGTGCTTAAGCACTTGGACTTGGGGATCCAGCGACCTTGGGCATCGCAGCCACTCTGAGCCTACCTTCCCTTTTCTGTGAAGTCGGAACAACGCCATCTAAGGATATCATTAAATGGGACAATGGGGAAGCACCCTGTGGAGAGCCTGGCCACCACAGGTGCACAGTGACCGCCCACGCTGTCCCCACAGGTCATCATGGAAGCCTGGGTGAAAGGCGTGAACCCCAAAGGCAACTCCACCAACCCCAGCAACTGGGACTTTGGCAGCAGTTTCTTCTTCGCAGGCACAGTGGTCACCACCATAGGTAAAGGGTCGTGGGGCAGCAGGGCTCCCCGACCCAGGCCCCTGTCTCAGTCTGAGATCCCCAAAAGCAGATGCTGAGAAGAGGATGTGGTTACCCGGGAGACAATTCAGGAAGCCCAGGCAGGGAAGTGGGCAGGGAAGTGGAGAAAGAGGAAGTCAGAGGGTTGCTGGTTGGGGTGGCTGGGCTCACCCGTGGGACCTGCTGAGAGGCTAGGGAGAGCCGTCCTCAGAACAGGCCTGCAAGGGGCTGGTCACTCGGGCCCAGCTGACAGAAAGCCTCTCCTGGTGTGTTAACCTCCAGCATCCCAGCCCAGCCCTGGACCCTGCACACGCCTGGGGCCAGAGAAGTCCCTGGGGCAGAGATGCAAGGACTTGAGCTGGGAGGTCATTTGCATACAGGAACTGGCCACCAAAGCGCAGTTGACATCCTGGGTGTCCCAAGAGAGCCAGTCACAGACAGCGTCTACCATACCACTCCACCAGAATCCCACATGGCCCCACCTCCAGGAAACCCCCCCGGCCCTCCTATCCCAGGTCTTCCCATCCATTCCATTAAGTCCACCCCCCGCTTGACTTTCCAAGGAAGGTGATGGGGGGACACAAACTTGGATTGGATCCAGGCTTGGTCCTCCATCCAATAATGAAGGATAAATACAGCACAAGGCAGCACAAATCATTAGAAATGACACGAAACAGCACAGGATGCCATGTGCAGTCAGAGGAGGGTGACAGGAGGGCTTCGCAGAAGCAGTGTCATTGGAGATGGGCTGTCAAAGACAAACCGGATTTCTGTAAATAAAGGTCGTCCATTCCAGGGGGTGGGATGGACGATGCTCATGGGAACAGGGGAGCTGCTGGCCCAGCAGTGGCAGAAAGGCCCCAGGCGCTGTGCTAACTCTCACCATAGCTGCGCCCTCCCTCTCTGTGGCAGGATATGGGAACCTGGCCCCCAGCACAGAGGCTGGCCAGGTCTTCTGTGTCTTCTACGCCCTGGTGGGCATCCCACTCAACGTGGTCTTCCTCAACCACCTGGGCACGGGGCTGCGCGCCCACCTGGCCACCCTGGAGAGGTGGGAGGACCAGCCCAGGCGCTCCCAGGTACAGTCCCCCCTCCCCTCCAGCCCTGCTGTGAAAGGTAAGTGGTGGACACTGAGAGAGGCCTTGGTGTGCAGGGCAGCAGGGACACACACCTGTGGGAGAGAAGGGGCAGCTGCAGGACCGGGCAGAGGGAAAAGCTAAATTCTGATTCCAGCTGGACAAAGGTGTGGCCTCTGGCAGCTCCACAGTGTGTAGGGGGTGCGGGGGGCACTGGAGTTGACCGCAGAGTGGCTGAAGGGGCTGGGCTTCGCATCTCCAGCAGCACGGGGTGTGGCCTTCTCAGGAAGTGTGTGCCCAGCAGCCAGGCTTCTCCGTGACACTGAAGTGAGCTGACAGCTGGCCAATAGTCCTTCTGTGATGGGGAACCTCTGTAGTCATCACAGACCTCCACCAACTTTTCATGGGGTCAAAGGACGCTCTAGGCCACCCGCATGCCTCCAGAGTGCGCCCCTTGGAGAGCAAGAGTGCAGAGGGATCTGGGACAGTTTGGTAACAGTGCCATCCTGGATCAGAGTTCCCGGGAAGCCTGTTTGCCTGTGGTCCTCATGCCTGAAGGGGTCTTCAGATCCCTCCTTGACCTACTCTCCCACCTCCTCTGCCCACCCAGCCTTCCCTGGCCTGGGTAAGATCACATACCCCCAGACACAGCCCCCTCCCAAGGTCTGCAGGGGACTTACTGTGGTCAGGCCTCCCCCCAACCCATGCAACCCTGAAGTCTTCCAGGTGGACTCAGGGCCAGACTCCCTCTCCCCAGCTCCTGCAGGTCCTGGGCCTGGCTCTGTTCCTGATCCTGGGGACACTGGTGGTTCTCATCTTCCCGCCCATGGCCTTCAGCCGAGTGGAGGGCTGGAGCTTCGGCGAGGGCTTCTACTTTGCCTTCATCACCCTAAGCACCATCGGCTTTGGGGACTACGTTGTCGGTGAGAATGAGAGTCACAGATCTCAGGATGGGGGACCCGCTGGGATCCAGGAGATGGGAGTTATCAGCTAAGGGTATTTCCAGTCCTCAGAAGTCCCTGATCTGGGACCCATCATGTATCTCCAAGGACTTCATGCTGATCCTGGTTATGAGGAAGACAAGAGTGCATCCTACTTGGTAGGGAATCCCTGGGTGGAGCCTGTGCCCTCAGACACCTGCTGTCCCCTTCCCTGCAGGCACAGACCCTAGCAAGCGTTACATCTCGGTGTACCGGAGCCTGGCAGCCGTCTGGATCCTCCTGGGCCTAGCGTGGCTGGCCCTGGTCCTCTCCCTGGGCCCCTTGCTTCTACACAGGTGCTCCCAGCTCTGGCTCAACGGCAGGAGCCTCAACCTCAAGGACCGGGCAGCCCCTGACCCTCAAGGGCTCCCCAGACCTCAGAAGATGCCCATCTCTGCATGAGGTCCCCTAGTGGCCCAGCAGTCCCTTCCAGCCTCCCAGCCCATGTCATCTGCCCTCTGGAGATCCTTCCCTCCTCTTCCTCTCCCAACCCCACACCTGTCCCAGCCAGGGTGGGCCCAGAGCTCTCCAGGGAGACAAGGAAACATATGTCCACGAAAGTAACAGAGGTGACCTGGAAAACTCAAACACATCCACTGTGGCCAGATCTTCACTGACCTCCCCACATACTCCACCCCAGGGTCCTTAGACGGACAGGAAACAGAGGGTAACTTGACTTGGGCCTCACTGGATGGGTGCACAAGGTATATTTGCCAAGCCCCCCACTATGTGCTAGGTCCTGAAGTACAACTGTGAACATTCTTGCCCTCACCTGTGCCTTTAGTCTGTCTAGCAGGATAGACAACTGGACAGGCAGCCCAACACAGTGTCCAAAATGTCCCGTGGGAGCAGACCCAGGGAGAGTGAGTCCATGAGAATGGCCGTCTTGGGTGGGGGAACATGCTGGAACCATCTTAGTGCAAACAGGAAGCTCGCAGCTGCCTCCCAAAGCTTGCCAGACCCTTTGAAGAGGGTGTCCCACCATTTTGCTGGTCATGACCTCCCCTGACCTCCAGGGTACGCCCTTGACCTGATGACCCCTCTGGTCCCCTGTCTTCCTAAAAGCCTTTCCAAGAACCCCCTGAGAAGCCAGAGGGCCAGCGGGTCCCAGGAGCCTTCCAGGACAGGCGCTCCATGGAGACCTGACCTCCCGTGGGACCATGCGCTCCAGGCCTGGCCTTTCTCCCGCTGAATTGCAACATCGCGGTAGCCCAGAAGGAGACAGATTTGGGCCAGTCCATGCCAATGGCCAGTCTCACCAAAGACCATAAACTCCAACCGGTACTTCTTCCATCACCCCAACAGCAAGCAGACCCCTAAGCGGCCGGGTCTCTTGGGACTACAGAGGCCAAGCTGTGGAGGACAGGAAGCTCCTGGCCAGAGACCCAGGGAAGGATCGCAGCAGCAGAGGACCACAGCTTACACCCCGGGACCAGTGACATCCAAGAGAGGGCGGGAAACTGAAGACCCACCCAGGCTCTTTACCCTCCCTGGGCCCTTCCTGCTTTCTGGGTGGAGGAGGGACTTGGGGGGAAAGAAGGCAGGACCTGGCTAAGGTCCTCTTGCCTCCAAGCTCACAGTCCAGTGGCAGTCAGTTGGAGTCCCTCTTCTTTTAAGTACACAGGGTGGTTGGTAGGAAGACTCAGGGAGAAGCTGAGAAGCAGCGAGTGCTTGAAGATGGTCCTAGGGTCCACGGACTTAGGCAGGAGCCCTGAGACAATAAACGTGGCTTCTGCTTTCTCTTCCCCTAGAGCGGTTTCCCGTAGTCCCTCCCACCATTTGCCGCAGGAAATGCTGGGGGGCTCTGGACCCCTTCCCTCCCAGGGCCTGTGGTCACCCAGTGGCATCTCCTTTTCCCTAATCTGGATCGGGGAGTGGGCACTCCACAGATTTTTGAAGTGCAACCAGATACCTGGGACTCAGCCTCTTATTGTCACTGGGATCGGATCCTGGGGGTGGGGCAGGGCTGTCCCACCCCCCTGCACTCCTCTTCCCAAGGGGGAAATGGCCATTGGCGGCTGGTTTAGAGAAGGGGCCGGCCAGGCTCCTGGCCCTTCCTTTCCACCTCAGTTCCTGCCCACAGCTCCAGCCCCCCCGTCCTCTCCCGCCATGCACCCACCGGGAGCTCCAGCGGCGCACAAGGGCAGGGGTCGGGGCTGCGCGGTGCCAGGCACCTTGTTCCTGCTGTTCGCCTACCTGGCTTACCTGGCGCTGGGCACCGGCGTGTTCTGGGCGCTGGAGGGTCGCGCGGCCGAGGACTCCAGTCGCAACTTCCAGCGCGACAAGTGGGAGCTGTTGCAGAACTTCACGTGTCTGGATAGCCACGCGCTGGACCTGCTGATCCGGGTCAGGGGCGAGCGGGGTCGCTCCAGGCGCTGCCGGGGAGGGATCCGGGAGCGAGGGGTGCACGGGTCCGGGAGGGGCGGGTCCGCTCTGGCCCGGGAAAGGAAACCGCGGGAGCATTTATCCCAAAGAGCGGCGGAGCTGCTGCACAGGGGCCCCACAGGGGCGCGCGTCTGGGCGTGGGGAGCCGGAGGGTTGGGCTCTGGCTAGAGGATCGCCGGCGCCGTGCTCCGCGTCCTACTTTAGGGGGCGAGAGAGCGTGACTGACCCCGTGGGGAGACGCAAGCTTGGCGCACACATCCGAATTTGGGAATGAGCACTACAGAGGGCACACTTCCCTGGGTCACAAGCCACCAGGGCTGTCCAGATCCGGTCCCGAGACTGGGAGCCTTTGGTCTGTGGGTGGCAGGCTGATGGGCGGCACCCAGGTGCGCGGCCCTGTGTCCCAGTGCCGCCGTAGGTGAAGAATGAAAGGACACACCTTGCCTCCTCCAAAGAGAGAACCTGGGTGCAAATATGCGAACTAGGGCGAGGATCCTAGGGGGCTCTGGCCTGGGTCCAAGGGTGAGCAGGACTGAGGGCACGATCCTCTGCACTTGGGGGAAAGGGGGGGGGCAGGACAAGTTTGTCCCAGAGGGTGGGTGGCCAAGATGTGCTTGTCTAGGGCAGGGGCAACGGAGAGGAGGCCTGGAAGTGGGTAGTACCAGTTGGAGAAGTAGGGTGGACACCGAGCGGAGCTGGCTTCATTCAGAGTCCGTAGATACCAAGGGCTGAGGACACCCCAGCGCTGATGCCGGAAGGGCCAAAGTGGAAGTCGTGGGCGGAAGGAAGTAGAGGGCTCTAAGGAACAGAGGCCAGGGGATGGGGCCCAGTGAGGCCGGGGAGGCAGGGGCATCCCAGATATATGGAAATTTCTTCTGGGCATCAGGCTGGCAGCTGCTCATTTGGTGGCTGCATTAACATCCTGAGCCCCCAACTGACTCTCAATTTCCCACTCTAGGCCTCAGATAGCCTCCCAGCCTCCCAGCCTCCACTCCTCCTGTCCCATCTCCCTAAATATCCTTCCACGGGATCAATCCTACCTGATCCTCAAGGGACAGCCCACCTCACCTTGAAGCCATCTGTCCCTGCCTTCACCAGAATGAACTCCTTTTTTCTCTGAATTCTTTCAGCAAAATATTCTTATTAGTGTGATGATAGGAACCATTAAATTTCCCACACACCATGTCCTGTTCTTAGTCTTCAAATATGAGACCTCATTTAAGCTGGGCAAGGTGGTGTGTGCCTATCATCCCAGCATCTAGGGAGGCTGGGGCAAGAGGATGATAAGTTCAAGGCCAGCCTTGAGCAACTTAGACCTTAAACAACTTAGCAAGACCCTGTCCAAAAAAAAAAAAAAGAGGAAGACTGAGGAGGTAGCTCAGTGGTAAAACACCCCTGGGTTCAATCCCAGTCTCAAACTAAATATAGAGAGAAAAACTTAATTTAACCCCTACAACAACTACTAGGAAGTAGGTACTCTGAGTATTTCCATTTTACAAACAAGGAAACTGAGGCTTAGAGGAGTTTGGTAACTTGCCCAGGATCCTGGACACTGCTTCCTTAATGTCCAAACGGCCACCGTTGCACGACGTCAGAGTTCATTCAGTACGTCTCTGTCCCATGAGGGCTGAGGTCCTGTCTCTCATCCTCTGGCCCCTAAAAGTACCACGTCAAGACTGGCCGCGTGCTTCCTGCAGGAAAGGGGTGATCAGAGAATAGGGGGATGGTTGTCCACCAGGTGGAGAGGTACCCCACCCCACCCTGACCTGGGCTGGGGGCCAAGAGAGTGAAGGAGCCATCTCCATGGTCCCTGCCTCTGGAGACCCCCAGGTTGACTGGAGGGATCGAGGCGCCTTGCCCTGGCCAGGCTGGGATGGAAGAGTGATTGTGAGGACCGTGCCTCAGAGAGCGTGTGTATTTGGGGGTGCAGGGACCCAGTCTCCCCACAGAGCCTGTTGGTCACTGCAGCCTCTCCCCCAGGACATCATCCAGTCGTACAAAGACGGGGCCCACCTGCTGAGCAACACCACCAGCATGGGGCGCTGGGAGCTCTTGGGCTCCTTCTTCTTCTCTGTGTCCACCGTCACCACCATCGGTAAGGGCAGCCTGGGGCCAGGGTGGCTGGGCTGGGGAGGGCGGCCTTCCCTGGAGGGCAGGGGGGCCGGTTGCCTTTTGGAAGGGCTACTAGCGCTTCACCCCTCCAAGTGCAGTGGGCCCTGCAATAGGGGTCCCCTTCCCCAGGGGCAGAAGAGCCTCGAGCGTCACCACGACCCACTGACCCCTTTCTGCATTTCGTCCAGGTCCCCAAGGGATTGTGGGGGCTGTTCAAGTTTGAGAAACGGGTTCCTAGGGGACTTTCTCCCTTTCGGCCTTCCAGGGGTCAGAGCGTCTCCTGACAGGGCAGGAGAGGCCTCTGGGCACCAGGAGTGTCTGGCCCCCAGCTAGCCCCCCCAACACAGCCCCAGGGGTGCACGGGAGAGGTGAAGGAAAGCTGGGCAGAGACGCCCTGCCATGGCCCCTGTCCTCCTGCCTGCAGACGGGAGCGCTCCCTTCCCAGGGCCTTCTCCTGAGCTCTCTGGCTCAGCTCTGGTCCCCATCACTACCCTCCCCAGCCCCTTTCCTCCAGCGGGGCCACCCTGCCTCCAGTCACTGAGGTGGAACTTGTCCTGGAGGGCACCTTGGGGCCATGGTGTGAAGAAGAGAAGCCCTAGGTCCTGGCCACTCTGAAACCCAAGAGATAATGCAATGCTGTTGCCTAGCGCCCTCTGCCCTGGGAACCAGCCCCAGCCCCTGCATGATACTGGACTTACCACTAGGTGGCAGACTGGCACCGCCAGTGACTTGGGCTCCTGCCCCTGCTCCTTGTGGACCAGGAATCTCTCTCCACCATCAGCAACTCCCCCTGTCCTCCCTAGAGTGGACAGGGCAAGACCACCCAGAGTTCTCTCCATCTAGCTTTAAATAAGCCCACACTTCTTGCAGCGGGTGGCAGGGCTACTCAGGAACTGGGGCAGTCCTTCCCATGAGCCTGCTCCAGAGGCCCCCCAGACTCCAGGGACCTGGGCCTGAAGGACAGTCAGGAGGGTGTTGGCGCCTCTCTACGTCCCCGGGGCTTAGTACAAGGCCCATCCTGCGGCGGGCACTCAGCAAACGCTGCCCGGTAAGGAGTCTCAGCAAAGATGCTCAGGAGCAGCCTGTCCTGAGTTCTGGAGCAGTCGGGCACTTGGAGGGCAGGAGAGGCCTCTGGGCACCAGGAGTGCCCATGACCAGACGTGTGGGAGCCCCAGGCCCATGACCGCAGCCTGCCCCTCTGCCCCTCCCAGCCTGGAACACTCCTACCCGTTCCTCTCCACTCAGCTCTGCCCTGAGGCCCTCGCCCTCTCTGGGGCTGAGGAGGGCAGAGGAGGGGAGACACACACACACACACAGTATATACCCAAGGTGTACACCAAGGTCCTCTTGTGCAAGGGCCAAAACCTTGGACATTCAAGAGCTCCTTCCGTCCATGGAGCAGCCTCCAAGGACAGGGCTTATTTTCATGTCACTGATGAGGAAACTGAGGCACAGAGAAGTGGTGGAACTTCCTCAAGGCCACACAGGCAGAGCTGGGGTCTGACACCCAGCGGGGTGGGGGAGGGGCCGCCTGGCTCTTTCCAGGGGCTTCTGTCCTCGGAGTTCACAGGACGAGGCAGGCTTTCTGAACCAGCAGAGCGATCAGAAGCCCTGGCCCTGAACACTCACACAGAGAAAGAGACAGGAGGCATGGGGCACTCCAAGAGAGAGAAGGCATTCTGAGAGGAATCTCTCCAAGCCCTAAAACTGGGGGTCTTATATGACTGGGGGCCATCACAGATGGTGAGGCCATCAAAGGACTCACTGCCTCAGTGACACTGTTGCGGAGACATGAACAAAAGGAGGAAGCAAGCTATGCAGGTATCTGAGGAAGAGCCTTCTGTCTGTGCAAAGGCCCTGAGGTAGATGTGGCTGTTGTGTTTGGGGAACACTGAGGAGGTCCAGGTGGCTGAGGAGGGTTGGAGGTGAGGCTGAGTTCAGAGAGAGTGCAGAGGAGCCCCCTGAGGTCCTCAAAGGGAGAGAGGTGACAGGCGAGAGGTGTGCTGACGTGGGAGGTGGCTCTTGGGGAGCTGCAGTCATCCAGGGTTGAACAGTCACGTGGGGGCTATTGACACCACCGATTGCTCTGACCCGAGGGATGACCAAGTGAGGGGGAGAAGGGTCCATTAAATGTCAGCCTTGGAAAACTACAGGGCCCTCCAGGGCCCCCCAGAACTGGCAGAATCCAGGTGCCACCATGCCATGGCTGAGAACTGAGTGACAGAACCCCAGGGCCAGAGAACAGCCCCGGGGGAGGAGGCAGAGGGGGACAGAGGCAGGGGCTGACCCCTCCTGGATGCTGGCAGAATGAACCCCACCTTTCAGGAGAGGGACCCTCAGAAGGCTGAGAGGGGTGGAGGCTCAAGAGGAGGCCTATGCAGACCTCAGACCAGAGCCCTGGGACACACACCCACACCACGGTCATTCCCACAGCACCTGGGGGACACTGAACACCTGGGGGCTCACGTCCCCGCACAGCATGCCTCCTGTTCCACCCACTGCCCTTGGGTGTTGAGGTCCCCATCTTACAGGCGAGGACACAGGCAGGAAGGTCGAGCCTCCTGCCCAAGACCCCGCAGCCCACCAGGCGCAGGACCGGGATTCAAACCAGGTGGCAGATCTCCCTGCAGAGCCCACATGCCAGGCTGGCACATGCTGTGGCCCGTCCCAGTGGCCCTCAGTGACGTGAACCAGGGGTGTCCAACAGGGGGCAGCAGCGGGCACAGGGGAGCCCTGCAGTGGTGTGTTACCTGGAGGCTGAGGCAGGAGGATGGCTGGAGCCCAGGGGTTCAAGGGCAACATAACAAGAGCCTGACTCTTAAACTTTTTTTAATTAAAATTAAAAAGAAGGGTGGAGCTGTGGCCCACACCTGTGATCCCAGCAACTCGGGAGGCTGAGGCAGGAGGATCGTGAGTTCAAAACTAACCTCAGCAAAAGTGAGACACTAAGCAACTCCGTGAGGCCCCGTCTCTAAATAGAATACAAAATAGGGCTGGGATGTGGCTCAGTGGCTGAGTGTCCCTGAGTTCAATCCCTGGTACCAAATAAAAGGGAAGGGGTGGAGACAGGAGGAGAGGAATGTCCAGGACGATGCTCTCTGGCCTCCCCCCACTCATCTCCAAGACCAGAGGTCCCACTTCCACCTCCCCGGGGACAGCTCATGTTCCACCATCTGTCCCCCAGTCCCACGGCGGGGGAGGGAGCCCAGGTGTGTCGGAGCCGCTCCCCTGGGAATCAAATCCAGAGGGGATGTGGTGGCAGCAGATGGAAGGCGGAGGTGGGAAGCCGGGAGACCCCATACGGCAGGTCCAAAGAGACGGGGAGGGGGATGCCCACGGGATCAGGGCCACAGGGGCCGCAGCCTGGACGTGCAGAGGATCCCAAGGGGCAGCCCCAGGAGGCTGGGCCTTCTCCCTGCCAACCCAAGAGGCAGGACGGAGGAGACCCCCGCGGGCATTGCGACCTGCACACCTGCTCAGGTCCCCCGAGCTGCCTGTCCCCCTGTACAACGGAGCCGCCATCTCCGCTTGGAGGGGTGATTCGGGGTGCACGGAGGAGACGGTGTCTAGGGCCCCCGACAAGTCCCAGCTGCCCACGTCTGCAGGGGCATGGAGTGAGGCCCGTGGGGACCGGGCGGGGTCAGGCTGGACACTCTCCTGAGGCAGCCCTCTCGCTCCAGGCTACGGCAACCTGAGTCCCCAGACCATGGCCGCCCGCCTCTTCTGCATCTTCTTCGCCCTGGTGGGGATCCCGCTCAACCTCGTGGTGCTCAATCGCCTGGGCCACCTCATGCAGCGGGGGGTCCACCGCTGTGTCCACCGGCTGGGGGGCACCTGGCAGGTGAGGGAGGGGCTGCTGGGGTTGGGGGACGGGTCCCTTCAGGATGGGGCGCTGCGGTGGGAACCGGGGTGCCTGGTGGCGAGGGGTGGGGCCAGAGGGGACTGGGGGCTGCTGGCCAGAATCGGGTGTCTGGTGATCGTGGGGCAGGGATGGGGAAGGACACGGTGCCAGGAGTGTCCCCCGGCAGGGAACCTGGAGAGCACAGCCCGGGCCGGGGGCTCTGGGTGCCCCTGCTGAGTGGGGAGCAGCACTGGGCCAGCTCCCAGCTCAGACCCTGCATCCGCTGGCCGAGGCCGGCCCTGGGCAGAGGCCACAGGCGAGCGCTGTGTGCACCAGGGCCCGGCCCCCGCCCGCTGGCTGGCGGGCTCCTGTGCGCTGCTGTCGGGCCTCCTGCTCTTCCTGCTGCTGCCCCCGCTGCTCTTCTCCCACATGGAGGGCTGGAGCTACCTGGAGGGCTTCTACTTCTCCTTCATCACCCTGAGCACCGTGGGCTTCGGAGACTACGTCATCGGTGAGACCCCCCGGGGCGGCGGGTGGCCCGGCCTTGCACACCGCCTGGTGTCCAGCCACGAGTGGTGGGGGTGGCTTGGAGGCCCAGGGGCACTCGGCCACCGAGCCCCGTCCCCAGCCCTATTTCATACTGTATTTAGAGACAGGGTCCCACCGAGCTGCTTAGGGCCTCGCTTTTGCTGAGGCTGGCTTTGAACTTGCCATCCTCCTGCCTCAGCCTCCTGAGTTGCTCGGCTCCCTGGGGCAGGCAGGGCTCAGCTGCCTCCTGCCCGTCTCGCCCAGCATGGAGCCGTCCTCCGGTCCACAGGCCTCTGCTGTCCTGAGACCCCTCCAGAGAAGCGCAGCCGGACCCCCTCCCTGCAGCCCACCTCGCCCACCCGAGCGCCCCTGGGACCCCCTCGGGAATCAAGTGGGGCATCGGGAGGCTCCCCAAACCCCAGCTCCCCACCCCCCGGCCCTGGAAAACAATCAGCGGTCACCAAGGGCCAGCACTGCCCGAGGGCCAGCACCGCCCGAGGGCCGGGGGGACCTGGGCGAGACAGCCCCCAGAAGCCCTGGCCTTGCCAAATAAAGCAGAGGCAGTGTCCAGCCGGCGGCTGTTAGGGATATGGCAGCAGAGAGCCTCGGCGTCCCTCCCTGCTCTCCATGTCCAGCCTCCAGGAGGGAGGAGGGCTGCTGCTCAAGGTCCCTACTGAGCAGGGGCCACGGGCACTCTGGCCCTGGAGGGAGGAGGAGTGACAGAACCCATCCTGCAACACTGAAGAGAGGTTTTCCCAGGTAACCCCCTGACAGCCGTCACCCGCTATTTACTGAGGAGGAAGCCGAAGCTCAGAGAGGCCAAACTATTTGCCTGGGATGCACAGCGAGATGTGAGTTTTGATCTGTTTGACTCCAAACAGATCGTGCTTGTTCCAGATGGCCTCACACACCCCTCTCTGGGCCTCCGGTGTCCCTATAAAGTGAGGGACTGGCTAGGTGGCCACCAAGACCCCAACAGGGCCTTCTGGCCTCTGGGTGCAAGATCCTCTTTCCTGATCTTTTCCTTCCCCAGGAAGAGGGTCCAGTGCTGGAGGCCTCGTGCTGCCCCTTTGTGGTCTCCTGACCCTGGCAGCAGGGCTGTGACTCTGGGAACAAAGCCCTGGGCAGGTCTCTTCCAGCTAAGTCACATTCCCACTTCTACCTTCAGAGTAGAAAGACGCACGTGAGGAGAGCTGAGCCCAGGAACTCCAAAGGCCACACCTGCGCCCTTGCAGGTTCTTTAATCTGTCTTCCCT